TCACACACAGGTACACCAGCTCTGACTCTGTCACACACAGGTACACCAGCTCTGACTCTATCACACACAGATACACCAGCTCTGACTCTATCACACACAAGTACACCAGCTCTGATTCTGTCACACACAGGTACACCAGCTCTGATTCTGTCACACACAGATACACCAGCTCTTGTTTTCCAGGACTATCCTCCAGGCTTTACCTGTATTGGCTTACTACATGTACAAACCAGTTGTATGAAGAAGTCATGTTATGGATGAGGCAGAAACACAGAGGTCCCCCAACAGGTCCCATATTACACAGAGAGGCAGCAGAGACTCAGTGAACCGGGTTACAGAGTTTGTGCTCTTCCCACACCACTGTGGCTTCTGGGGAGGGAGGGGGTGAGTCTGTTTAGAATGAATGGAGGCATGGGAGAAGGCGTATGATGCAGTTTTGCTTCTGGTGATCAGGATTCCAGGTGGGAGTTGCCAAGGACCCAGGTTGCACTGTAGGACATGGTAGCTGGGAATGTGTGGATGAGGTAGTGTCTTTGACACACAGTTGGGACCCGAGGAAGGTTTTCCTTCCCTAGGTTGACAATAAATTACTTGACACCCTACCCCAACACTAATCCTATTGATGAAGGATCTTTGTGAGCAGCAAGCTTGTGTTTAATTAACCTTATGTAAATGAGCATAATTGCTTCTCGGTGGCTGTTGTCCAGAAGCACCTGGGATTCCTTCCCTCAGACGTTTCCAGCACCTCGATGAACTAGCCTTTCACGTGGACGGTCCACGTGTGCACTTCAGTGCCCGCGCTGTGCCGTTGGAGGTGGCAAGAAAGAACATTAGGTGTGACCTCAGTTGTGGAGGTACTCGCAGTCTCCTGGGTAGACAACTCATACAACCACGGATAACAAGGAGGTGAGTCCAGGAACCTAGAGCCCCGAGAACACACAAGATAGCTGTGACCAAGGAGGTGAGGAACCCATTGGCAGAGGAAGCAGAGGTGGGAAGCAGCTTACAGGTATCCTCAAGGGCAGAAAATATCCGTCTACTCAGTCTTTCACGCAGGGTTTGCCGCGCTGGTGGAGAGAGGCAGTCTGCCCCACACCGCTCGCATAAGGGATGGAATTCCTCAGGCGAAATCGGCAGAGAGGTGGACGGGGCATGTTTACATGGCTCCTTACCTCCAGAATCCCAGCGCCAGAATCTTGTAGAGAACTCGGGGAAACAGGGGAGCCAAACCAAACACCCGGAGAAAAATCTCCTGTGAGACATTCTGTGCCCAGTCTCCCTTAATTCTGCAAACCCACTTTCTCCGCTAGAGCGAAGGTATCCGAGTCTGGGCCGTGAGCGCAGGCTGTAATGCCCGGAGTTCGTCGCAAGGTGGCAACATTGTGGCGAGAAATAGACATTAAAAATCCTGGGTGTTTTTTAAAGCATATTTTCTCTATTAATGTTTCATTTAACTTAATTAGAATCTGGTAAGCTAATTAAAGTAGCTACGAGCCCCGCAATCAGCAATAATTCGTATAATTATTGATAATTACATCCATACCAATCGTTTGGTTATTAACATTTTGAGGGGGAACAAGCCATTTCGAAGTGATGTGGAGCCCAGGAGGGTTTCTGTTTTTTGTGGTTTGCTTTTTTCTTATTTGCGCAACGGAACTTTCTAGGTCGGATCCGCCTACACCTCCAGTCCTCGGAGGCTCTGTACCACCTGAAGCTCTGTACCACCTGAAGCCCCCAGGTCCCTGTATACTTTACTCTGCTTTGGGAAAGTTGGGAGGGAAAGGCGAGAAGGGAATGTTCTCCAGTCTCCTTTATTGGTGTGTGCCACGGACCTTCCTGCTTAGGTGGTAACTGCCCTGCCCATTTTACAGAAAAGGATTGTGCAGCTTCCAACTGTGCGTTTAGGTGTGGGAAACGCGCAAGCAATCTGCTAGCCTGCGTGCATTGTGGGGTCCTGTCCCTGGCGCGCCCTGGGAATGCAAATCACTTCCTATGTAGATCTCACTTTCAAGATGTGTGCAGCCCAGGCGTAAAAGAGCCGATAAGCATGCCCTCTTCACCCATATATTCAACGCAACATATTCAACGCAAATAGTTCACCCGTAGGTGAACTATTTTAGGCCCCTGGAGGGTCCCAGAGAGGGAATAGCAAGGTAGAGCCTCATGGTTTGCCTGGAGCCCTCTCATCCCCTGCTGATCTGGCCCTGACAGTATCCCAGGTTTGAAGGTTCACAACCCCAGCACAGGGACTGGCCGGCCTCCTGTCTCATCCTAGCGTGGGGCTCAGCATCTGGTTCTTTCTTCCATCGCCCAGACTGTGTCCTAGCTAGCCTGCACCTCAAGAGGCCTCCAGTGAAACTCCCTGGTGTGAGCAGCTAGGGCTCATGGCCCAAAACACTCCAGAGAATTTTGGGACCTGACTTCGCCTCCAAGATCCCCCAGAGAGTGCTTGGAGCTCTGGGGTGCTAGTCTGAGAGCCAGATCTAGGAGGAGATGGTCCTGGCAGCGGCCTGCACATGGGCTTCCTTCTTGGAGCGCTTCCTTGAGCCTCGGGGCACAAACAAATGTCACTTAATGGAGATCGGAAAACGAGGCCCTGGAAAAAATAAAGGACTCAACAACGCAGGACCTTTGCTAGCCAGAGGAGGGCATGAAACCCAGTCTGGGTTGAAAACCCGCTGGTAAGAGAACCCGCTCTCTCCATTCCATCCTCCACACTGCTTGGGGGTGGGGTGTGTTTCCCGGAGTTTATTTTTCGGTGGCCGGACCAGCAGGTGCCTAGCAGCCACTAGGTGAGGCTTCACACTCCTGGGCCACAGGCTGGGGAGCATCCCGGCCTTTGCCTCTGCGGCCATCAGGCTTCACCTTCCTCCCTGGGGTCCTCTAGTTACACAAATCTGCTAGGACTAGGAGGGGGAGATCATTAAAATGAAGACCGAGCTCGCTCCTTCCGGAGAGCGGCAGGCCCGTGGCAGGGCATCTGTCTGTGCAGCGACCTCAAACTCTCCACCTCTTTTCCATATCTGTCCCGTCAAGATAGGTCCCTCACTCCTCACCCCCACCCGGCCAGCGCTCCCAGGTCAGGTCTACAGAGCAGAGCACCAGCATGCAGAGCAATGCTGATTGAACCCGGGATTCCTAGCAGCCTTGCTGAGTATACCCCAAGGTGACTTCACACACAGGAGAGAAAAGGAGAAAAATTAAACTTTCTGGCTGTACCAGCAAGGCTTGGGAAAGAAGGGACCACTGTTCAAGGGACCAGGCAGCATCCTTCCCCTAGCTAATTCCCAGAGGAGGGTCCTGCTCCAGAGGCCTGTGGGGAAGTTGGGTGTGTCTAAGTGGGCGGTAGAGAGGTCTCCTGAGAGAGCACCACCCCGTAACCTCGACCATCCGTCCCGCACTTGCATCCCCACCCGCCCCATCTTTGAGTGGCAGGATCTTTCACCATCACCTGGGTGGGCACACTCTCAACTCCGCAGCCCCAAGGAGTGACAGATTTTTTTTTTCTTTTTATTAAAAACAAAAGTCACGGATACAGGTCTCCCCGAATAGGCTCAAGATGGTCTCCATCTCGTCGAGTCAGTTGTCGCCCTTTTAAAGTGCTGTTACGTTACACAACAACAACAACAACAACAAAAAAAAAACAACACACAAAGCAAAATCCAAAGAGGCATGAAGGCAAAATGAGGACTGGAAAGGGGCCCGGGGGAAGTAAAATAACTTACAGCATAAATAAAGTGACCCTAATACTGAACCAAGAGACCTACAGTCCGTGTATATCCATTGCACATAGCCACGTTGTCGTTAGGAACAAGAGTTTCAGAAGTGGACCGGACTGGGAGTGCGCGGCTGCAGCCGGCGAAGATGCTACATTATATTTACAATCCGTGTCCCAGGACCTACTCAGGCCCGAGTGGGGTGTGTGTGAAAGAGGTCTCCCCTCTACCGTTTCTTCACCCGCGGTGAGTCCAGTTTACCCCTTGAGGTTTGATGCCCTGGAGTTCAAAGGAGGGGCGAGGCAGTATTTACAGTGGATGGGGGCCGGCGGGAGGGCGGGCGGGCGGGCGGCTGTATTTACAACGGTCGGGTCCTAATGGCTTGTTCCTCGCTCTGGGCCGCCACGGCAGCGGGTATTTACAGAAAGGAGCAGCATGGCTTGAGGGCGCGTGGGCGCGGCCAAGCCGGCGCTAGGGCAACAGCGGGGGCTTGAAGGAGCAGTTGCCGGTGCAGTGCCGGGGTGTCAGCATCTTGCAGGAGAAGTGGTGGAGGGCGTCGTGAGCTTCTGGAGAGAAAGTCGCACCAACCATGTTGGCCGCCTAGCCTGCCTCACTGGCCCTCGAGGGCCACCAGTCCCCCCTTCTCAGGCCCCATTCAACCCTCTGGGCACACGAATTCTCAATGGAGCAGAAGGGAGGTAGGAGGGCAAGAGTGAGATCCTAGTCAATCAGAACCATTTCTAAGGTCCATTGGCCCCATTTTACAGAAGGGGAAACTGAGGCACAAAGAGGTCTAATTGTCCAAGGCCAGGGCTGGGCCAGAAAGCAAATTTTCGGATGCTCAGAGCTCAAGGGGCTCTTTCTTCCTACCTCACAGTTAGGGAAAAATTTTCCTCATTTCATTCAGTTCTCAGTTCCCTTCTGATCCATGTGGGCCCGGGCTTCCTTTCTTACAAACATCTCCATCCACCCACCCACCCATCCACCCACCCACCCATCCATCCACAGTATAACCAACAACCAGCACCCCCCCTGCCCCCCGCCCCCCCCCACTCATTCATCTTTGTTTCTGGGTTCACACCTTTTAATTTCTGCTGGATGGCATAGCGAGCTTTCCTCTCCTGGTCCAGTTCGTTACACAAGGTATCTGGAAGACATGAATGTGCTATGAGGAAACACAGACCGCTCTCCAGCCAGACGGCAGAGGTCAGGGCCACAGCCTCTCCCCGGCCGGCCGAACTAACTCCGGAAACTGAGGAGGGGACACTAACTCTTTCTTCAAACTGCAGGCTGGGGGTGGGGGAGGAAATGGCCTGGGATGGCGCTTAAAGGCAGACGGATCTAACCAAAATTAAAGCAAACTTAGGCATTACTTCCCAGGTAATTTTACGCCTCGATTTTTAATTTAGAAACCATGGAAATTGCCGCGCTAAGAAGTTCAATCACTCCACGTAATGATGCCTGCAAGCCGTTTGCTGGGCTCGCTTGCCATTCTGAGGCTAATCAGACTATACAAAGGATATTAAATAAAAAAAATAATTGTTAAATTACCTTCAATTTAAATCCAAATGACTGAGCCAACATTGCGGCTCCTGCCAGACGAGAGGCAGTTACTGCGGTGCGTGCGCTCACCTGACTCCCGGCTTACCTCTGACAATTTGCAGCTGTTGTACCATTTCTTCCCGATAAGCCAATTCCCTCTTCATTTGATCCTGAAAATTATCTGTGCAAATTGATTAAGTGAGAGCTGTTAGGCACAGCCTCCTCTCCCAGCTCCACTTCCCGCTCCCTCCCATCCTCACCCCTACTCCCACCCCTACCCAGTCCTTCACCTAGCTAGAAACATGGGAAACGGGAGTTCTTCTCTCCCCTGGGGCAAGTGGCGGCTGCTGTCTGCACCCAGTTCCTGGAGCAGGTTCCGGAAGTGGTGTCGTGGGGTGGGGTGGGAAGGAAGGACGTACCTTTGAGACTCTGGAACTCCCGCTCCAGCTTCTTGCGAAGCTCCATTTGCTCCAGAAGCAATTTCTGCAATTCTTCTGTGAGAGGTTGGGAGAGAGGTAAAGGGGAGACTGAGGAAATTCAGGGGACCCACCGGGGCCAAGGTTCTGCCCAGGCCCCCGGTCCTGACACCTGAGCATTTCGGCTTTTATCTTTGACTTGGATGGAAGCTGGGGGCCTAGGGAATAGTCCCAGGATATTCCAATTCAAGAGGGTGGAAACTGTTTTGCATTTCTGGACCGTGGCTCCAGGAAATAACTGGAGCCTGACATCTGCTTTAAGTTGCTCCTAACTCCCCAACCTCAGAAGATGACCCACAAAATACAACTCCCCATTTCTAATGAGACTTCCAATCTCCCCTTTAAAGACAAATCAGGGAGAATCTGATCAAATCCATGGACAGCCTTCCTGGAGAAAAAGACATACACAGAAAGTTTGTTTACAATTTCAAGGGGGCACTTAGACCCCCAAATCCATGCGGTGAACTATCAGATAAAACATCAATGGCTTTGAAGTTGTGGCATGTCCTGTAAAACCTGCAGCTAGGAAGAGTGAAAAACTACTGCCCATCACCCCCACCCCATCCCACACCCAATTTCTAAGACTTCCCATTGGCCCGTGTGGAAGGAGGCCTGTTTTGGGAAATAGAAGGTCCAGCTGCCCCCACAGGAGGCCACTAGTGTCGAGGTCCCCCCATAGGAAGGCTCCTTTGCAACACAGGAATGTAAAATGGAGAGCCAGAGTGAGCGGGGTTCAAAGCCCCTGTCTGCTGTGCCTTAAGCTACCTCCCCCATCAGACTAACAGTGACGGGAGGAGGGGTGTCCTGTTCTGCGAATGAGCTCCAGTCTTGCTCTGTTATTGTTGAAGGGTTATGCATTAATCCCAGAGGGAAAAGTGGCCTTTGACACATTCTGGAAATAAATACCTCCCCGCCATCTTGTTCTTCAGCCAAAGTTGTGTTTTTATGGGGTTAGAGAGACTCAAATTGTCCACCAGTTACAAGTTCTGAGAATCAAGGCCCATTCTCCTTTTTCACTGGGCCCTCCCTTCAAGACAGTTCTTGAGAAGCCAAACTTCCAATAAACTTGCTGGTCTGCTCACCCTACTCTCACCTACCTCTGTGCCACGTGTCCAGAGGGTTATCTTTTCTACTAGGTGAAATGAAAACTGGTTATGCCTTTGGCACACACCCACTACCAGAATACCCTCTCCTCTAAGGACCTATCTGCCTCAAGCATCTCACAGCTCCATTCCACAGATTTAACCTCACCTCTGGCCAGGTTTTCAATGTCTTTCTCCACCAGGTGAGTTCCTGTGACATCCAAAGTGAGCCCATCTTCACCTAGGATACAAGGGCAGGTAAGAGGGGTTCAGTCCTGGAGAGAGCCTGGGAACTTTGCCAAATTAAGGACCTCTATCAGGACCTGCTGCCTTCCCACCTTCCAAGACACTGATTTGACGGGAAGGAAAGTGGGCTCAGGAAGATGAAGCCTGGCAGGAAGCAACCTTTGATCTAGTCTAGGTGAATGAGATGGTCCCTCTTCCTTTTCCTTTTAGTGGGCCCCCACCTCTTTCTCAGAGACCCTCAAAGCCAGTGAGGAAGAAACAAGACCTGAAACCCGGCCTGCACCTCTCCCACATCAACTGTCTGTTCAACGGCATCATTTGCTCACGATTAAAACCTTCTTCCTCCAAGCCTGTGGTGACCCGGATGAGTTGGGTCTCAGCTCAAGGCCACCTCAGTTCAAGCGAGGACCGTTAGGGCTCACCTCGATCTGTATTTGCAGGGCTTGGCTGGGAGACACTCCTTTGGTCAGAAAAGGATTTCCTAGTTTCCAAGTCGTCGGCTGTAGTCGAGTGATTGTCTTCCTTATCTGGCTCTAAAAGGCAGACTGAGTTTCAAGGAGAGGCAAAGAAACCGTGACCCGGATACTACAGAACGGCCTCGGTTGGGGCGCCCAAGCCCTAATTAAAAACGTCGCGGCCGCCTCTGGTTCCCGGCTGTGCGCCCAGGCGCGTGCCCCAAGGCTTCGTGCCCCGCACCCCCTCCCCTGCACAAGGTCTGCTCCATCCCAGCTTCACGCCCCCGCCCTAGCCTCTGGCCCCCAGGAAAAGATCAAGACAAGCAGCTGAGTCCACCAGGGACAAGCGACCTACATTGCGCGCGCAGATACTGGGGCACCGGGAGAGCGCGTGGCTGCCGGGTTTGTCCGCGCGCGACTGCGGAGATCGCAATCCAAGGGCGACCTTTTGGGTGCTGGTGGTTGGGGCGGGGGGGCATTGTCCCGCACCCGGCTGTATAGGCCTGCTTGGATTTCTGTTGTCCTTCCCACCCCCGCTCTTCCTCCGCTAGCAACCTGGTCCCAAATGCAAATGCAGGGCTGCTCCTTGATTAGGGCCGCAGCTACAGCGAGCTTCTAGGGCACCCAAGCGCTCAGCCACTAGTCCTCACCCTGTTCCCAGATCAGGCCTCGCCACCACGCGGTCTAAGGCCAAGCAGTTTCTGGATAAATGAAAGGACCTCAAGGAGATGCCTGCCCAGTGTAGTCTTTTGAAAGGTTTAAATCTCGGATGAGGTGTGCTGGAGTGCGCGCGCGCGTGCTTGTGGAAGTGAGGAGGATGAGTCGTGATTGTTAAGTAACCAAATCCAGAGCATTGGGGGTTCACAGTTTCCTTTTTCTTCTATTGTTTTTCCCCCTCTCTTTCTCTCCTTTTCTTTACGCCCCCCCCCATCCTGCTCCCTCACCCCCTCCTTTGAAAGGCCTGACTTGGCCCTGGGTTCTAGGGGTGCTTCCTGTGTTACAAGGGCCAGAGGCCTCGGGAGGCATTACCGTGGGCCTCCGGGGTGCAGAGGTACGAGGCCGCGGGCCCCAGCGCCACCGCCGCCGCCGCCGCCGCCGCACTCTTCACGTGTTCATCCCTCTCAGGCGCATACACCTGCGGCCGCCAAAAATGACAGGCAATTAGGGGGGACAACCATGCCCCGCGGCCAACAGGAAGGCCGAGGGGACGGCAGAGGTTGGTGGGCTCTGTGGACCTGGGTAGCCAGGGCAGCGGTGACATACCGTAGTTGATTTGGGATAATCTTCGGATAATCTTTGCTTGAAATGCAAAGCGGCTCTCAGGCCACCAGCTGTTCAAAGCCACTCCCACGTTCAGTGCTCACCTCCTTTTTAGCTACTTTCCCTCCCTAGGTCGTTCCCTGCATAAACGACGCCTTTCTCACACAGTCAACAATTCCTGTTTTAATGAACTCGATGTAAATGTACAGGTGCGCGCATCTCCTTGCAAACGGCCAACCTTCCGGCCTAGTCACAGCTCACTCTCCAGCCTCTTCCCTGACAATCAGAGAGCCTAGGCTTTCCAGCCAAGAGCGGTGTAGTTACTGAGTTTGAAAAGACTCAGAAAACTGCCAGTTAGGATAATGGAGGGTTCTAGAGACTTCTTAGCAAGAGGCTGCCCTCTTCTACCCCTACTCTCTGAGGTTCTTCGGGTGTCATCCTCACGCATGCAGGCACACTTTGGGCCTGGCCTCCGGGGCGCCTTCCTCTGTTTGGGGGTCCCTTTCTCTCCTCTTTCTTCCTTCAGACCTCTTTTGTTTCTCTTTCTGGGTCTCTAGCGGTCTCTACAAATCTCCTCTCCCTCCCCCCCCCTCCATCAACAAAAACAAAATGCACTCGCTGTTTCTTAGGCCTGCCCCCCGGATTTTCCGAATCCCTCATCCTGGGGTTCCCAGCGAGCCCACTCCCACAGTGCACCCTAAGCTGGGGCTGTGAAAAGCAGCTGGGACCTGCGGCTCCAACGCCTGAGCAGAACAAAATCCCAGTTCCCGCATTCGGCCGGGGCTGCTGTGCACACCCGCAGAATGGAGGAAGGGAGGAGGCGCCACCGGTGGGAAGCCGGGCTCACCTTGGCCGCCGCGGGGCCTCCCAGGGGCCCGCAAGGCTCTCGCAGCTCATAGCCGCCGCTGGGTGGGCTCCTCTCAGTTCTCCGCCCCGCGTCATCGGCCACCAGGTCCCCGAATGCGGATCTGCCAGCGGGCGGTGGCCCGAGGCGGCGGCGGGGGCGAGGGCTATCGCCATCAGGAGAGTCTGTGGGACCGTCTGCGCCTGAGGATGTGACAGATGGGGGCCCAGCGGACTGGTCGCCGTCTGGGCCACCTCCCGTGCTGGGTGCGCTGGGCTCGGTGTCGTCCTGGGCGCCCTCCTCGTCGGGGAAGCGGTTGGACTCTACGTCCACCTCGGGTTCGTCCGCGGTGTCCACGTCGGGCGAGGCAGAATGGTAGCTGGAGCTGCCCTCGCTCAGAAAGTCCGGGCTCACGTAGCCTCCTCCGGTCCCTGTGCCCGGCACTGGCCCACGAGCAGGCCCGGAGCCATAGGCCTCCCGCGCGCTGCCGTAGAGCTTAGCGATGCTCTCCGCGTCCTTGACCACGGGTCGGAAGGCCGACACGTAGGAGCTTTTGCGGGCAGGTGGCGGTGGTGGAGGGGGCAGGGGAGCCAGGGTCGGAGGCAGCGCCTCGTCCGCGCCGTCCTCATCCAGGGGCCCGCGGGACAGAGCGCTCGGACAGCGCTCCTCCGTACCCAGGCTGCCCTCCTTGGCTGCCTCGGCACCGTCCAAAGACTCCGGGCCGCCGCCGCCGCCGCCAGCCGCCGCCGCCGCCGCCGCAGCAGCAGCAGCCACCGCGGCCGCTACGGCCTTGGCTTGGCTCTGTGCGGCCGGGTAAGGCGGCACCGGGAGGCTCCCGGCAGCTGGCCAGAACATGGGAAACGTCGGGTACACAGTGGCGGCGGCCGCTGCTGCAGCTACTGCCGCTGCGTCCTTGGCTGCGCCGGAAGGTTGATGTCCCCAGAACATAGTGCCGCCGCCAGGGCCTGGCCCTGCTCCCGGGGGCAAGTGGCCAGCCCCCGGGCCACCGGCACCCGCGGCGGTGCCGGCGCCCCCACCGCTCCCGGTGCCAGGGCCGCCTTTGGGTTCTCCGGTGACCAACACTGGGTCGTCCTTTTTGGGACATAGGCCGAACGCTGTGGGGAAACCGTAAGGATGTGGGAAAAGAGGCGGGGGCAACTTCTGCAAGAGGCCAAAGCCTTTGCTGGGCACTGGAATCACCGGGTAGCTGCGAACTCCCGCGCTGCCCCCAGGCCCTCCGGGTCCTGCAGGGCCGCTAGCGGCGGCCGCCAGGCCTAGTGCACGCTGCGGATGCGGTGGAGGTGGTCCCGGAGGCCCAGCCACCTCGTCGTCCCCGCAGCGCAGACTTTTGTGAGGCGGTGGGCCTGGGGCCATCTCCGCGCCGCCGCACCCTGGGCCGCCACCGCCACCTCCACCAGCGCCGCCCTTCCCTGCACCGCCAGACCCGCTATTAGCGCCGCCTCCGCCGCCTCCTTGCAGCGAGAAGGTCCGCTTGCGCGTCCCGCCATTAAACATAGCCTTGACGTCCTCCCAAGCGTGGCTCAGTTCGTCGGTGGCCGACTTGTCACTGAGTTTGAGGTGCCGACGCCACGAGTTGAAGTTGGCGGCGTCGGGCTGAGTGTACTTGGCGTCGGGTGTGCGGTGCGAATGGAAGATGAACTTGTTGGGCGAGAAATACATGCTGCAGTAGCCGCACTTGATGCACTTGGCGCGAGAGCTGTTGTAGCGGGCAGGAATGAAGCTGCCCCGGGAGCCCCACGCGCACTCGTGCACCACGTCAAAGGCGAAGTTCTCGGGCAGTTTGGGCGGCTTGTGCTCACCCAGGAATGATTTGCACAGGCGTTCGGCCTCTCGTTTGGTGATCATGCCGCAACGGCGAGAGGAGATGGGCATGGCCCCGGCCCGACGCAGGATCTCCAGCTGCACCGGCGTGCACTGCACGCACGTGATGCCCAGGGCCACGCGGCGGTTGTGGATCTCATTGTAGCTGTAGTTTTTGAGCAGGGTGTTGGAGATCTGGGCTAGGCACAGGCGCTCCTGCCCATCAATGACCAGCGACACGATGGGCACCCCGTACAGCGACGTCTCGCCCACCTGGTTGGGTTTAAGAGCGCTGGATCCCGAATAGGGCTGCAGCTCTTGCTTGGAGTTGGGAGAGGAGCTGCCCTCGCGCCCCGGCCCCAGCTGAGTGGTGAGAGCCTCCATGCCGCCGCTCCTGAGAAACAGAGAGAGCAGAGAGCAGATGAGCCATTTTTAGCGCCGCTACCTCGGTTCAGGCCCGCCCAGCGGGGCGCAACGTGTGGGATGCGAGGGGGTTACTTGGCTGTAAGGAGTCCAAGCTCATTCGTCCCCTGGACTGGCCCCTTTTGTTATTCAGACCCGTGCCTGCTCTGAAACAAAAGCACCCGGGGGCTAAGGGAGGAAAAGGGAAAATAGAAACCTCAGGAAAGCCCCGGCTGCCAGGAACTCAATCCTGTTTTCAGATTGGGAAGGAAGTGAGACCCAGAGACGGAGAGTGACTTGCCCAAGGCCACACAGCAATGCCATAGCCAAATCCAGGCTTTCCGGCCCGCACGCAGGTTCGCCTGCTTTCAGCTACCTCGCAGCCTTCCCTGCCCGACAGGGTCCTGAAGCCCGGACTTCGGGGACCAGCGGCCCCTCTGCTCAGTCGCGCATGCACGCGTGCGGGCGGGGGCAGGGAGGCGAGAGGTGGGAGGCGAGGGAGGGGCACTCACTGCCCATCACCAAACTGAGGGATGTAGAGGTGGGGGCAGGGACAAGGAGGAGGGCTGGAGGTTCAAGAAGAATGTGGGAGGAGGAGGAGGAGGCCACCGCTGTTCGCGGTGCTGAACCCTACCCTTTCCAAAGCTTGTGGAGTGCACCGAGGCCTCGGGTGGCCCCCTCTGCACCCAGCTTCGTGACGACCGGCTTCCAGGAACAACAGCACCGGCTTGCACAAACCTGGACTTCTCTTCTGACGCCTTGCGCCCCGTGTTCCTTGAGCAGAAAGTGTCCAGCTGGATTTACAAAAAGCTTTCTTGCCAGCCATCAGTCGGGCCAGGATCACACAGTTTTTAACCACATTTTCTGCATTTTTAGCTGCATTCCAGACTAAAACTGGCTTCCGTCTGGGTCAGCGCTTGGGACAGAGAGATTCTCACAGAGGTTTCTCCAGAGTCACTTCTTGGCTTTTGAAAACACACTCCCTAAGCCTTCACATATGCCCGATTTCCTCGGGCCAAGCCCAGGCTCCCCGGGCTCTGGGCTGCTCCTCTCCTACGGGTGTTTCCTCTTTGAGTGTTCTCCATGCCCCCGATATTCCAGCTCATATGGACTAGAAAGAATCTTGGTCACTCTTGGAAGCTACTGTAAAACTCCAGGCCTAAAAAGTTGCTGGTGGTCCCCCGCTTTGATTTCTGGAGGAGGCAGACAGGAAGCTGTGTCCACAGACTAGCCTGGTGGAGGACCCAGAAATTGATATTTAGGGCCTTTTAGGTCGCCTAGTCACCCCACGTGTCTTCATACACTCAGAGCTCCAGTGCGTGGCGGCAGGTGCTCTTCAGCCCAGTCCAATCCCCAGGACTCCCTCCCCTGAACTTGGCTGGGAAGGCAAATCCATTTGGGGGGGGGCAGCTTCAACCTAACAGGGGCCCCCGAATTCCAAAGCCTTCAGTGAAGAACCTGAAATCTTTGATCTGCAGGTCTCTTTCCCTCCCTCTCTGCTTGCTTAGATGCTCCTTATTTGTCGATCTTATCTGTCCCTAAGCTGTCTGTCGCTGCCAGCTCACTCCTCTTTCCCCCATCTATCTTACATCTTGTTCAAGTATCAAGCAATTTATCTATTATCTGTTTCATCTCTTCCAGTCAAACCGAAGCAAGTTGATCCTCCCTTTCTCATTGAAGTCCCTGGGAACATTTTAGGAGGCAAACAAACACTGTCCTAACTCCTTGGCTGAGGGGTCAACAAGGCAAGCCGGGCGTCCCAGGAATGGTTCTCAGACAGGCTGCGGAGGTGGCTGGGGGCATGCAGCTTTGGGAAATGACGATGGCTTCTTGGTTTTCTGGGCAAATGTACCCGGCCCGCATACAGTGAAGAGGACACCCTGAGCCAGGAGCGTCCACCTGAAGCTAGGGGTCCTGAGTCCCCACGGGGTTTTCCCAGAGGGCTTCCAGCCTTGGAGCCCGGAGAAGTGGGGAGCCCTAGGAACGAAACAGCATTTCGAGGGTCAAAGAAGAAAGCGCCCGCCTAGGGCCGCACTCAGGCACAAGAAGCAGCGGTCAGGGCGGCCCGGGGACCCCCTGGCCGGCTTCTGGGGCTTGAGGGGCGAGCCTGGCAAGGGTAAGGAGGAGGGAGGCGGGCAGCGGTGGCAGTGAGGCTGTGGAGTCGTTTGGTAGAATAGAAAACAACAGGCACAGAGTCTAAAGGAGAAGTCAACGAAAGAAGCGCTGGGGCAGCTGGGGCGGGGGCTGCGGGCTCGCGATCGCGGGTACTCACCGTGCGGCCGCTGGAGCCGGCGAGCGGAGGTGCGCGGCGGGCGGAGCGGCGGGCGGGAGTCGGGGATCCGCCGGGCTCTCCGGGTGACGGCGCGGCCCCTCCCCGCGCGCGCGCACAGCCGCGCAACCCCGCTCCCCGCGCTGCCACCCGCGGCCCCTCCCGCTCTCAACAGGCGTGGGGCGCCAGGGTCCCCGGAGCGGAGCCGGGTCCTTGGAGCCGATGCCCCCGAGGCCGGGGACTGGCCAGAAGAAGAAGCCGAAGCCTTGAGCTCATGGCGCGGCGGCGGGCACGGTCGCGGACACTGGCGGGAGTGGCGAGGCCGGCGCTGGGCTGGAGCGCCTGACAGCTGCGAGCCGGGGCGCCACACCCACCACCCCTCGCAGTTCCTCGCGCCCTCCCCGGGTGCGCCCGCCCGCGGGCCCCGCGCCGCGCCCGCCGCCTCTCTGCAGCCCCAGGGCCTGTGCGCCCCAGGTAAGCGGCCGCCCACCTGCGGCCCGCGGCTCGCACCTGCGGCCCCGCGCAAGCCAGAGAGGCCGAGTGGGAAGAAGGGCCGGGGAACTCGAAAGTTCGCCCCTGAGAACCAAGTGCTGAAGGTCCGAAGCTCGCTGTTGCCACCAAAGGACCCGGAGCCCGGCAGGCCCGGGGCAGGGTGATGGAGTTGAGGGTGACTCCAAAGGAAGGAGAGTGGAGAAGGTCACACCACTCTCCCGCTGCAGGGACCGTGGAACTGTGAGTGGCCCTGGAGACCCGGACTGGCGGTCAAGAATGGGATAGGGTACTGAGCACTGGGGAGCGCAGCCGGGAAGGGGTCAGCGCATCCCCCCACCGCTCCTGACTGCGGGGGCAGGCTGGAATACGTTGCAGAGAAAGTCACCCTTCTTTCTTCACTGGGCAAGGGACTGGGGAACCCCAACCCCAGGATCTCCCATCATCTCTTGTCCAAAGCAAGAGCCAAGTCATAATTGGGGGAGGCGTGGGGTCAACTACTGGTCGACGTTGCTGTTTTCTAGTGGAGAGGTCCGTTTTCTGGGGACACTACCCCTTGGTACTTTCTCTATACCCCCAAACTCACTCCCCCCTCTCTCTCTCATTTCCTCCCATCGGGTCTCTTATCGTCTTAATCTACGAGTTACTAATAACACACCCCTCGCCTGTTTTCGGGCGCCCCCTCAGCTATTTTCACCCCCTCTTCCTGCCCCCGCGGCATTAAGTGTCCTTAATGGACACGTTAATTAAACTGTAATTAATCATACTGTCCAACTCAAGTTTGAACAATTACCCTAATCAAACAGAAGTTAATAATGGCAAGGATGGCCCGGGGCGCGGCGGGCCGCCGGGGCAGGGGGCGCAGCGGCCACAGCGGCTGCTGGCAGCGGCCGCAGCGGCGAGTGCAGCCTGTCCTTGGAACCTGAGCGGCTCCATAAATCTTCCGCGGGTAGCGGCTCGGGGTCGCCCTCGCCCCCGCCCCCTTGTTTCCCTCCTGGCTCTGGGTTGTGGGTCCTCTTTTCTCCTGTGTTTCCGCTCCCGTGGGTTCACTTCCCGTTCTTTTCCACTTCTCGATTGCTCCTTTCCTGCTCTTTTCTCTCTGGCTCGAGGAGACCCCACGAAAGGGCCCTGGAGTACGGTTATGGCTCAGGCCTGGCCCTCGGAGAAAGGAGGTACCAGGCCTGGGGCAAGTTCCTAGCCTGTTCTCTGAAGCCTCCCAAGCAAGTTTGAAGGTTTCTTCTCGATGGAGGTCTCGCTTTCCCCTCCCTCAATGTCTCCCTCTCTCTTGCTTTCTCCCCGCCTCTCACTTTCTTCAGCCTGGAGCCTGCCCAGGCCCTCTTTTTCGGCTCTTCCCTTCCGGCATTTCTCCCCGGTGCTACCTCCGTCCCACTCCAACTCTGCGCTCTCATCCTCCCCGCCTTCTTTCGGAGGGAAGCAGCCTGCTTTCGGTCACCCCCTGCTCATCTCCCACCCCCCTCGGCCCAGGCTCCCCCATCCCATAATTACAATCCCACTCGGTAATTATTCCTAGAATCCTAATGATTTTTTAAAAGCAACCTCAGAACTCGGTATGGTGGTGACAACGATCGGGAAGTCCGGCGCCCCCAGGGTGGTGGCGTAGGAAGGGGAGGACACGGAAAGTCCCCCTCCTCTATTGTATTGCCAGGGCTAATAACGCTCCCAGGACTGGCCTCCAGTCCATCCGGGCAGCCAGGAGGCAGAGTCCCTGGGGACCTCTCATACAAAGGGTCCTGCTCTAGGCTAGTGCACTAGCGGATGACCAGTGTCGCCTCCGCTCCCTGTTCAGCACCAAGCTCGGGACAGCTCCCAGCCCGGTCCCGGTCTTCCTCCTGGCCGCTCCAGCTAAGCTCTATGGAAGGCCCGTGGAGAGGCCGGGGGATCGCCGCTGCTTGGGGCTGGTTTCTGGGGGCGCTTGTGTGGGGGATCCGAGCTCGAGCCGAGTTCCATAGGAACACTACAGCCACCCACATTTTAAGATCTGCGAGCCTGTTCTCACAGCAGCCACCATCCGAGCATTCCCATTTCACAGGAAGGGAAGAGTCAGGCGCGGGAAGCCCCAGGTTCCTCAGTCTGTAAGACAGATGCACAGGCTGAGCTACACTCAACACGCCCTGACACTCTGTAGAGGGGGTCTGGCTGGGTGAAGGGACGGGGAGGAATGTGCAACCTCAGCCTGGGTGTGGAGGAAAGATGCCTAATAAGCCCAAGTCATCTGCTCAAGTTCAGGAGGCCAATGGGTGGGCAGAGCTGAGGCTGGAACCCAGGTTCAGATACAGTACGTGGCCCCCCTCCCCCCCTTTT